ATTAACATGTAGAAAGGCCATATTGAAGAGCAAGGACTCAGGAGCCAGACTGAATCCTGGCCCCTCCTTTTTTCCTGTGTGCATAACTCCTCTTTGTCTTAGCTTTCTCAGCTATAGAATGAAAATACCTGTCATTAGGTTATAAGCATGAGTGAGTTCGTATGTGTAAAGTGCTTAGAATACCTGACACAGTAAACATTGCAGAAGTGTTTGCTGTTTACTGTGCAGGTGGTAATGATGAATAACTGTTCCCTTAAAACTTAATGACAATTCACATAATAATGGATAATGCCCATTGTTTATAATTTGAAGCCGCTATAAATGCATTCTTGAACTGTCAAGTTACCAAAGTTACATATTAAGTACATGCTAGTAGAAATTTAAATTTTTATATTAGAATATGTTAGGGTATGTCTCGGATGGGAAGGGTGTACAGGTTATAATAAAAGTTACCCTTAATGCTTGCTTAAAGAGGAATTCCTAGATCTGGGTCTTATTCCAGACCTATTTAAACCAAAGTATGTCTGTTTTGGACAAATACCACAGATTCTGATGTGCATCCCCAGTCTAGAACCATGTTTTAGGTTAGATGTAAAAAGGTGATTTTTCAAACGAAGGAATAATTTCTAACGAGCAGTTTTTTAAGCCAATTATCAAGATGAGGCATCAAACCAAAATGAACCATAACTACTTAAAATGCTTTGTCACAGTGAAGGGTGTGCATGTACATAGGTGCATGTGGGTATGTTTCCATTACAATGCAGTTTTGTTTTGTTTTTTTTTAAGATTTTAGTTATTTATTCATGAGGGAAACAGAAAGAGAGAGACACAGAGGGAGAAGCAGGCTCCACTCAGGGAGCCCCTTGTGGGACTTGATTTCAGGACTCCAGGATCACGCCCTGGGCTGAAGGTGGCGCTAAACTGCTGAGCCACCCAGGGATCCCTACAATGCAGTTTTAATGCTGAGTGTATCTGCCTTTAAAATAGGGGAAGGGATGCCTGAGTGGCTCAGGCCATGATCTCAGGGTTTTGAGATTGAGCCCTGCATGGGGCTCCACACAGCAAGTAGTCTGCTTGAGATTCTTTTCCCTCTCTGTCCCCTCCCTGCCTCCCCACATCCCATTGTGTGCTTTCTCAAATGTTTTTTTTTAAAAGAAATAGCAAGGGAAAACCATCTGATAAACGAAAATCATAATTTTTAAAATGTTTGTAGGTTGTAATTATAAAAGGTGAAAAATCTATTGCTTGTGCAAATTTAGCCAAAATATTTTTAAAGCTTTGGTTTGGCTTTTTGCTTCAACTTGGACATTAAATGAAAGACTGAAGAAGGGAAAAAACCCTTAAAACCAAAAGGGTCTTTTATTTGTTAAAATCTTGAAAGAGTTCCATACTATCTGCTGAATTGTATTATGTGTATTATACTATGAAGCAACCAGTTAGTATAAATGGTAATTTACCTGTTCAACAGTAAATGTAAACATTCTTTATATCTAGGATTTTTGAGTTGCGAGTTAAACTGAATTTTTACTACAGTGGAGAGGAAGAACATAGCAGGCAATAGAACAGGTAATACCATAGTTTAAACAAAAATAAGTAATTGAATCCCCTTATACTATGATTTTTATGTATAGATACATTTTTAAATACCTTAAGAGATGCAGAGACCAACATTGGCATTCTAAGAATTTGTCTTGGCCCAACCAACAGAAAGTAAAAGAAAACATAAGATGAAGGTATTAATAGTTCTGTGAGGTTATTTCAATTGCCTTTTTTACCTTTCAGCTTATGTATACATAAAGGTGGTTCTTTCATGGCCTTGAGTGGGGTAAAGCAGATCTGAGAATACTATTGGGCTTTTGGTAGTTGACAGCTGAGCTAACTAAAAATACCAAATTTTGGATAGTCCTTTTTCAGTTCCCAGAAAATAAAAACTGATAATTTACTTACATCAGGTACTTCACCAATTCACTTTTATGAAACCAACACAGACTTACTGAAATTATTAAAGTTGTAATTGGCTTTTCCCAGTTACTTTAAGATCGCAGCTAAAGAAGCCATAGTTATATGCGTTAAGAAAAATGATTGCTTTTGGTTTGAAGAGTTACTTTCTCAATTTGAGGCCCAAAGTTATGTTTATTATTTTGCTGGCTCATGATTTACCTTTCTTGGTGAAACTGATGTGCTTTTGCTTTTTCCCCCTTTCAAGCCCTGTACTCACTTTAGCAAGATGCAGTGCATTTCTGACCAGAGAAAGAATTCAGGCTTGGAGGACACTTGACTCTATATCCTGAGAAAACTAGAGTTGAAGCCTGAGACCTGCAGCTAGGCTAGTCTTTAATAGATGGTAATTGTCCAATTGTTCATTGCTCAGTAGTATACAGGAAGGAGTAAGTATCCCTTCGGTTCTTTCGCTAGGATTTTCCCCCCAAAAGCATGGTCAGGTTTAGTTGACATAGCTTTCAGAATGTGATAAAGATAATTTAGAAGCAACTGGCTTCTTAAATTTGTATTTTTAATACACATTTTAGAGCTATGTTATGGATTTTATGTTTCTACAATACTGTTTGGTACTCTGGTGCAAAAATATGAGAGAAATATCCTAGTTATTGCCCTAGCAAATAAAGACTTTAAGCATTTCTCCGTAACAAAAAGCTAAGAGCTTGAGGAAATAGAAAAAAATTCAAAATGACAGGAAGTTAGTTGGCAGTACTTTAAAAGAGTTTCATCTAAGCCATTTCCCCTAATAATTTATGATGGTACAGAAAGGTAAAACAGAACCAAGAAGTGAAGCTGCCAGCCAGTATGTGTATTCTGAACTACACTTATTTTTTAGAAGAATCTAGATGTATTCCACAAGAAAACCAGTTTCCTATTAGATCTAGTATATGGGCCAAGAGTTTTTCTTGGCAAGGCGAACACTAAATATTAACTAGGGCGTTATGAAGTTATTACTACTAGTGTTTAATAGACTCAAGCTCAAATTAGTCGTCTTTTTTAGAAAGACCAGGTAATCACTAAAACCGCTGATACATCAGTCTTAGAAAGTCTTTATTTAAAAAATTCTATAGGACATCAAAATTGACTTCTTACAAAGTATAACCTGTCATGGAATTCTGTGAAAGTGAACCATTTTATTTATTAGAAATAGTCTTTTTTTCTGCAAGACCCAGAGTCAGAATAACTAAAATTCAAGATTAGGATGAAATTAGAAGGTTGCATTCATCAGAGAAAGTAAAGAAGTACATACCTCTTATTTTTCTTCTGGTGCTACAAACTCCTAGATTGAGTATGTGTGGGGATTTACAAGTATCGGTTTTAATCCTTAACAACCTTTCAAGATAGAGGTAGGATTTGTAACAACTTTTCAGGAGGAAATAATTTCCATGAAGAAATTAAAATAACTTGCCCAGAGTCCTTAGCAAATATTAGAACTAGGATTTAAATGTGACCCAAAGAAACCCGGTTCTTCCCACATGATGCTGTTAGGGAACATGGAATTTTTGAGGTGGGACGATAATGAAAGGGGGGAAAAGGTAGCTAGTTGCTTCTTCAAGTGGAAGAAAACAAACTTACCAACGAACCTTCCTCAGGAGGTTAAACAATGTTCTCATGAGAAATGACCCAGGAAGCAGTGTGGCCTGAGGTTAGGAAATTTGCCTCTAATCCTCACCCTTTTAAAATCCCTCCATAATGCTAAAAGCTGTCATTGTCATGGGGACCAGAAGAAAACATTCCTACCAGAGTTCTACCTATTCTAATCAGAAACTACAGTCTGACTTTATCAGAATCTTCTTTGGTAATAAATATGCACTGAAATGGGATTTACCTGTATTAATACATTACTCGGGCATTTTACAGAAAGGGTACTTTAACTCAGGTTAGTGGATGGGGACTAAACAGGAACTTCCAGACTTACTTTCAATTTAAATGTACAGTGTAGCCAAAAGGATTCCCTAAGAAGTTATTAAGAACGGATAACAACAAATGGCTTGTGTCCTACCTGAAAGCAGTAAGATTATCAGGTACATTAAACCATCTGCAGTTAGGTTACATGGAGTTATCAGTCAAGAAGGCACCTGTTTATATTACAGAACAGGAAATGACAATGATTCAAATTGTCATTAATTCTGGACTACTGACGTATCAAACACTGAGGAGATAGCTGCTGCTTAAGGTGTGGATGCCCATTCATACTTTTTCCTTCATGGAGAAGGGTGGTACAAAAAGCACTCGGGTCTTCTTCATTCACAATTTTTATTTCTTGCAATTAACTTTTATATCTTCAAATTCGATTTGTCTTTTAAAAAATTAATACTTCTTACTCATCATACAATCCACTCCCCTCCCACAAGGAAAACAAACCCAGGGAAGGAGTAATTTAGAGGGCAGTTGAAATAGGTACTATAGATTTGTGACAAAGGCTTCCCAGCCCACCAACCTGTACATATACAACAAAATGGCAGCACCTCAAGTTCTCCTGAATGAAGTCTGAAATTCCAGCCCTAGGCAAGTGATGCAAGTGAATGTCATGGGAATAACAAAATGGAAGCTCAGTCATTGGCTTTCATTTACTTTCCATGATAGTTAGCAGTCTTTAAACTGTCTCCCTTGGGAAAGTCAAAAGTAAGCAAATATATAGAGCAACATTTTGACCCAGCCAGGAGTAATTATAAGTGAAACCAGACATAATTTACCTGGGCCAGAGAAATGAATTTATCATGTTTTTCATTAAGTTCCCAGCACCTGAAGTAGCAAGTTCTAATAATGGGCTTCTAAAGGCATGCAGTTTTTCACACATCTACTTCAAAGAATTTCTTCCACTCATACATAGCACAATCAAGGATAAAATATTCTCGGAGGCACAGGAAGAGCACAAAAACAAGTAAGTATATGCTGAGGCCTTGTGTATGCCAAGATGGTGCACTTCATACATAGAAGCAGTGAAAGCTGTTAAAGTGCTACTTACAAAGGATAGTCTAACATTACACACACAACTCAACTGCACTGCTAAATATGGTTGTCTTTATTTTCTTTTTCCTTGCCCAGCCCTATCTAAACAAAATAAAACTACAGGACTGAAATTAACAACCCATTAAATCAGCAATAAGTTATGAAAATCATAAAGCTTTTTTTTTTAAGTAATTAAGGGTAGTTAAATTATTTAAAGTATACAAAGTCCAAAGAGCCAAGGGGTAAGGGGACCCAGAAAGCTTCCTGGGGTCAAGGAAAGGGGGAGGGGGAACCTTGGATTTTGAAAGACAAAGGGGAACACATGACAAAGTGCAGGCTAGAAAAGAAATTTCACTTAAAACATTTCAGAAAATATTGATAAGAGCAACAATAGCACCTGCACAGTGGGACTGTGAGGAAGGAGAGAGACTGCCTGTAGGAAAATGGAAGCAGATCTTTACAATAAAATGAGACAAGTGCCGAACTTAACTATGTTAAGTATTATAGTGTGTCTACTATAGATATCAGATGGTTAAAAGCTGGTAAAAGGTAATGATTCTAAAAGAAAATAAAAACAGCATTGACCTTTTTTCTACCTAGCCCAGACCTCATTCATTTTGTGCACTATAAAGAGGTGTGAGGTGTTTTATCATTATCAAATGCTGCATCAAAATAGATGATTTTTTTCCCATGTGTTTTTCCACTATAAAAGACATCTATGTTTTTTATGGACAAGCTTTAAAAAGATGTCATTTTGGTTTTCAACACATACAAACAGTTATCAAAATCTGAAATAAAAATGCTGCCGTGGCTCAGACCTTGGCCTGCTAATCTGCGTGCAAAATTCTTCTGGCCCACGCAGACACAGAGGCATGGAGAGCTTTTTCCTTCTGGCCCCTCAATCCAAATTCACAGGCCCTGTGTGGTAGAGGCTGTCATACACAGACTGCCCCCACGCTGCCCAAGGGCCTAGGGCGGCTGACTGTCGAGCTGGCGGTTGGGTACCCTACTGCTAACAATGCAGGATAAGGTTAGCTTGCTTAGCATGGAATCCAACAGAAAGCTGAGCTGCATGATGATCCCTTTCAAAAGGCTTCATGGGAGTCTCTCCTTTTGCAGAGCATGAAATGAGCTTGCTTTTTATTTTATTTTATTTTTTCAAGAATTGATCATCCACAGGCTTCATGATAAGCTGTCCAAGCTGAGTTTTAATAGCTCTTTAGCTATCCAAGTTAATGCCTGATTATCTTGTCTTCTCATTACTATGGGTTTGATTTTGTTTTTAGGACCATAAAACTCAGGAAGGGTTCATAACCCCATCCTTAAATGTGTCTACTCATTGTATTATGAGCAAAACTAAAGAAGAAAAAGAGGACAAAAACTCCACTGTCCTCTTTCAAATCAACTAAATCAAGAAAATTTCACTTAAGTTTTCTGCCATTAGAAACTGTGATTTTCTAATATGAATATTATGAGTATTTGTTCTGCTGGGGAGGCTCTGCCCCACTTTTTGCTATGTATTTGCTTAAATAGAGGTCTTTTGACTCTTTTGTTCAAGTATAGTTTTGTTTAGTTTTAAAGAGGAGACTGCATCATGAACCCAATTTAAGAGATTGTTTGGATTGAATTGGCCCAGTGAATATTTTGCCCTGCACTGTTATGTCATGCTGGGTTCTAGGAAGCGAACGAAAGTTTGACACTGGCACTGGAGTAACCCTCGTCACTCCCAATACTCTGCAGGCTGCTGTGGTCATCAATGTCACTGATGCTGGTGGTACTGATATTGTCCACTTCTCCATGGGAGAACTCTGTGCTTTCAACATCCACTTCAATCTCCTCTGCCAAAAAGAAAAAAGGAAGAACATTAGTAATCTGAACTTTCAAAAACAAATGAAAAAAGGGTATAAGAAAAAGTGATTATTTTTGTGCAATAATTATTATACAAGCTTATTATCAGTGATTTCTAGAGAACAGAAGTAACTGAAGGTGAAGAGACATGAATATATTTTGCAAAGGGGAATGTCTGGTATCCAGTGGTGGTCTCAATTTAGGCAGTAAGTTTACTAAAGCCTTTGACGCCAGTACGTCTGGACCTCCCACCAAAAGCACTCAGCCTATTTGGGAATTAGTGCTTAATATTAAAAGATCCTAAACCCCAAGTGGTTTAACAACATCTGTTTTGCATTAAACTAGAAACTAATTCTCAGTGCTGTTTGTTAATCAGAGTTGCCTTAAGGAGGGAAAAAGCATCAACTTAGTATAGGTGAACCAGAAAATGTATCATTTATTCTTGCCTTAGGTGGTCTCATTCTACAGACAGTTCTACAGACTTCTAGGAGTCATAAAGACTTCTGACTATTCAGGAACCAAATTAGCCAGTCATTATAGAGGGAACTCTAAGAGATTTGTCTTCAACTCGATTTAATTTTCTTGCATCAAATATAGCTTGAAATGAGGGTGTGAGCCTGCAAAGTCTCTGGCTTATAATGAGATCTAGAATAAAGATTATAGTAAAGGCATTTCAGTGGTTGTATTTTACTTCAAAAATCAAACATGTTTATTAAAAGAAATCCCTAAATACATATATGACCAGCTATTACCAGATAGTTTGTTAAATACTACATATACCATTACCAGTACACCACATAAAATACAATATACATTTTTAAAAATGAAAGGCAGTTGAAAAACTGTTCTCATAACAGTTAGAAATGAACTCAAGATTCTTCAATTCTTTTAAGCTCAAAGTCTGATGTTTCATATTTGGCAATGACTCTAAGGGTTCACACTGATCACAATTGCTTTAGGAAAAGTGAATTCTTGCTGAGCCCAAGAAGAGAGAGTAAGTTATTTCAAAGAGTATAATTTTCAAAAGGGCTTGTTGCTTCAAAAAAGTTATAGAAATCTGTTTCTAAAATGCAGGCATCTGTCCAAACAAGCTGTACAAACAATCCTCTGAATTCATAACTATTTGTTTTACATCCATAATGCTTTACAGGCTATTTGGTGTTTCCCAGTATCAAAGAATACTCATCCAACCTACCAACTGGAAAAGAATCTTGCTGCACTCAATTATATCATAGTAAAATGAGAGACTACTCTAGCCAAATGGACTAGAGATATTACTAAAAGCCCCCTATAATACTGGGAAAGAGGTACTAGCACATGGGGACTACCAAAAAAATGAGAATCCTAATGATGAAGACACACATTTTCCCAAATTTGGAGGGAGGGTGGGTACAAGGAAGAGTTAAGAGAAGGAAGGGCAGCTAAAGCTTGCAGACCTGACAAAGTCACATAGCTTGTAGCCAGTAGAAAAAGGACTAGGATCAAGGTCTGCCTCTTAATTTGGGGTCATTTCTGCTATACCTCACTGTCATTCATAAATGTAGCATATCTTTGAGGTTCTTGCTGCTGCCTCTGGTATACTTTTGTTCTTTGAAACTGAGTGCCACATAACAAAAACTTTACACAGCAAAACAATAACAAAAACAAAAAACCCAAGGACTCCTAGGGTTGTGTTAAAAGGGATAAAAATTGATCGGAAATGTTTCTATGGAATATGGGAAATTTGAGTATTAAAAAATAATATAAAGAAGACTACATTGGATTAAAACACATTCAAAACATGAAAACCGACATGTTCCTAAGATAATCAGAACCAAACAGCAAAACAAAAACCCCTGTTACCTCTGGAGGTTGCTAAGATACCAATTCATTATTCAGAAAACTGACAAAAAAAATCACAAAAATTTTTAAAAAGCATTTATCCCATCTTCCCTAGATGGACTTTATTTTGGAGTAATCAAGAAAGCTGATGAAGAAATGCTCTTCTTTATAAAAAGGTTAATAAATGCAAAAAGAATGACAGAATGAGAAACTACTATTTGTAATACCTAAGTGAAAGACAAGTGAAAGGTTGGGCATTTGCATAAATGTATCAGCACCACCTATAAAGTATTCTTGCCTCAAAAAAAGAATCTGAATTTATAAATCAAGCCATGAGATTCACCAACCAGTTTATAGGAAATAGGGACAGAAGAACTTACTTACTTACTTACTTATTTATTTATTTATTTATTTAAAGAACATCTTAGATGATGCCATGAGGATTCAGTCAGCCAAATCTAGAATGTGGGATGTTCTATAAGAAAAATGACTCTGGGGCACCTGGGTGGCTCAGTGGTTGAGTGTCTGCCTTTGGTTGGGGTTGTGATCCTGGTGTTCTGGAGTGGAGTCCCACATCAAGCTCCCCACAGAGTCTGCTTCTCCCTCTGTTTATATCTCTGTCTCTCTCTGTCTTGCATGAGTAAATAAATAAAATCTTAAAAAAAAGAAAGAAAAGAATTTTTTTTTTTTAAGATTTATTTATTCGAGAGAGAGAGAGTGGGGGGTGGGTAGGCAGAAGGAGAAAGAAACCCAAGCTGACTCTGCACAGAGCCTGCCTTAGGGCTTGATCTCACCAGTGTGAGATCACAATCTGAGCTGAAACCAAGAGTCAGACATTCAACCTACTATGCCATCCAGGTGCCCCAAAATGACTCTGCTTCTACAACAAATAAATGGCACTGGGGAGGATAAAATGGGGAACAGAAATTATAGATGAAAAGTATCTTAAAAAGCACAAACAAATACAATATGGACTTTGGATTCTAATTCAAATATGCCAATGGTAAAATGCCACCTTTAAGAAAATCTATCAGAAATTGGGTATTAGGGCAGCCCCGGTGGCGCAGTGGTTTAGTGTTGCCTGCAGCCCAGGGTGTGATCTTGGGGACCCGGGATCAGGTCCCACATCAGGCTCCTTGCATGGAGCCTGCTTCTCCCTCTGCCTGTGTCTCTGCCTCTCTCTGTGTGTGTGTCTCTCATGAATGAATAAATAAAATCTTTAAAAAAAGAAAAAAAAAAGGGATCCCTGGGTGGCTCAGCGGTTCGGCCTGCCTTTGGCCCAGGGTGCGATCCTGGAGTCCTGGGATCGAGTCCCGCATCAGGCTCCTGGCATGGAGCCTGCTTCTCCCTCTGTCTGTGTCTCTGCCTCTCTCTCTCTGTGTCTATCATAAATAAATAAATCATAAAAAAAAACCTTAAAGAAATTGAGTATTAGACATTAAATAATATCTGATTTTACTAATTCTGTGAGATATAATAACATTATGACTAATTTTAAGTCTCATTTATTAAAGATATATACTCAAGTATTTAGGGACAAAATGATAATGTTATCTGGGATTTGACTGAAAACATTCCAGAAAAAATGGTGAGGATGAGCAGTGGAGAACTGATGAAACGAGAATGACAGAATGTCGTCAGCTGTTCAAACTTGATGATGGGTACATGAGAATTCAATATTCTGCTTTTGTGTATGTTTGAAAATTTCCATAATAAGTCAAAAGAAATTTTATAAACAATTCCTTTTTTGTTTTAGAATCCTCAAGATCTCATGAGCTCCGTTTTTTCTAATACAAAGCTTAAAAATACTGAGAGTTCTCCTCTGGGGTCTTTTATTGTACTGTGAGGTCTGATGTGGTGGGAGCTTTAGATGAACAGATCAGTAAAATTCAGATTTTTTGGTTGATTTTTGTTCTTTCATTCTGCCAAAGGCCAATATTCTGGGACAGATGGAAAGAGAAATGAAGGGTGCGGTACTTTAAAATACAGACATAAAAATTAACATCACCAGTTACAAAACATATCAACATCATGTATCTTCCTGATACAATGAATTGAGAAGGGCACAACATCACTTCTGTGATATTTCTTTCCCCTAAACATATAACCTCAACTCAATAATGAGAAAACATCACACACTTGAGAGACACTGTATAAAATAAGTGGCCAATACTCTTCAAAAGTGTCCTGGGTCATGGAAACTGAGGAACGATCTAATACAATGTTGGATCCTGCACTGGATCCTGGCTAAGCAAAGGACATTAGTGGGAAAACTGGTGAAATCTGAGTAAGGTCTATAGATAAAGTAATAGTATTACATGAATGTTAATTTTCTTGTTGTAGTAATGTATTACATCTACATAAGATGTTAACAGTAGGGAAATGTGGGTGGAGAGTATATGAGACGCTATGATTTTCTACAGAAAACAACTTTTCTCTAAGTCTAAAATTGTTTCAAGTAGAAAGTTAAAAATAAATTTCTACATAATCAAGGGGGAAGAGTTCTCTTGTTCATACATACAGGCATTGCTAGACAACATTGTGGTTGCACAAAACCCAAGAGTGCTGCAGTACTGGCGAAAGAGAAGAGAGCAAACAGAACGATTTCCAACGCATCCTGCCTAAATTTAGATAGGGGATGTGTAGTATTTCATTAGGGAGGAAGCCCAGGCCTACCTCGCTCTGAGTCAGAACGATCTGAAGAAATAGTTGACCCGATGCTGTCCATTCGTATTCGTTCCATCTCCTGAGAACCCTGCAGCTGCTCCAGTCGCCGCTTTAAAAATCTCTGTTCTCGTTCCAAGTTCTCTAGCTGGTGCTGGCTCTTCCTTTCAGCTTCTTCAAGTTTCTAAAATGATAAAAGACACTTGTACAGTCCAGTACAGACAATAAAATTCATTCCTACCTAACATCTTAAGAGATTTCTTCTTTGGCAGAGAAAATACGAATGAATAATCAAGTGTGTGTGTGTGTGTGTGTGTGTGTGTGTATACAAACATACACAAATACATATTTTTAATCACCAAATATAATTCTTTTTCCATTTCTTTTTTGTGCATAATGAATGCTATATTACTAGAGCACTATGGAATTCTCAAAGTCTGTAAAGTTATCTCCATGTAAGAGAAACTTGCTCTGCACTGTAGTTTGATGGAAAAATACCGAGGGACAAAGCCAAATAAAGTTATCTCCACCAGAGGGCACAACTGCCTGCCTTCTGCCCATCAGCAGCGTAATTGTTATTTTCCTAGTATTCCCAGCTCCTCCAATGGCCATGCTGTCAAAACAATTTAGTTTAATCAGGTTATGTTGCTCCCATCAGATCAGCTGATAAGTTTTCAGAAAGATTTCTCTGGAGGTCAGTTATTAAAGAGGGCATGGTGAGCTAGTTGATGTTTATGAATAGGAATCATTCCTTATCATGAAATAAGGGCTGAGACAATCATGTACAAATATGAAAGAAATTCTCACCTTGATGTGTGCTTTGGCTTTGTTGAGCAAACCAAGTGTTGTGTGCCTGGTACAGTCTGGTCCTAGTGGAATCAGAACTTTTAAGCGTTCTAAACACAGGCGCAGATGAGCTCGTCTAAGAAAGACAACAAGTATCAAATCAGCACAGATCGAACATCCTAAAATCTATTTTGAGACAATAATAAATCACAAACTATTAGTCTATATCCATGTTACAACCCTATGTCTTCAGTTTCAAAGTATGCACAAATACAGGCATGGCAAATGGTTTTCAGTCTCTACCATTTCTGTTGTAGTAGGCAGACACGGTCACTTCAGATTATTATCCCCAATGGTAACCTCTGTCAGAGATGCTTTAATTTTTTTTTTAATTTTTATTTATTTATGATAGTCACAGAAAGAGAGAGGCAGAGACACAGGCAGAGGGAGAAGCAGGCTCCATGCACCGGGAGCCTGACGTGGGATTCGATCCCGGGTCTCCAGGATCGCGCCCTGGGCCAAAGGCAGGCGCCAAACCACTGCGCCACCCAGGGATCCCAGATGCTTTAATTTTTAACCCACCCCATAAACTGTCTCCAACTGTATTAATGTGGAAGTAGGAAAGTATACTGGGGCAATTAATTGTATTTGATTTTAAATGCCTAGAACCACAGGCTAGAGTTAGCAGTTTTTAGCTGGAGTACCTACCCCTAGGGCATATAAAATGCTCACGAATTTCCATTTCCTCTCATCTTTTACACATACCCACATGCACACCCCTCTCTTCAACTGAAGCGTTATGTGTTATTACATACTAGATTGAACCATACAAAATTTCTGATATACAACAATTCTCACTTATAAAAATGGTAATTTCATATGATCCAACATATTAGAAACAGCAAAACTGACCAGCTAAGAAAGGGTTAAGGCAAAATATATGGCTGTGGTCAATTTCAGCCACTGAAACAACAACCCATAGAACAGTCCCCTGCTTTCTAATATCTCAGTGTACCAGCTCATTAGTTAAAAATTTTTATTTCTCTCTACCTCTCCTCTCTTTATTACCCCACCTCCAATTTTTCTACACATGGGAAAAAGCTTGATAACAAAATTGTTTTTTTTAAAGAGTTTATTTATTTATTCATGAGAGACACAGAGTGGGAGAGACAGAGAGAGAGAGAGGCAGAGGGAGAAGCAGGCTCCATGCAGGGAGCCCGACGTGGGACTGATTGGAGTCTTCAGGATCAGGCCCTGGGCTGAAGGCGGCGCTAAACCGCTGTGCCACCTAGGCTGCCCCAAAATTGTGAGAGAGAGAGAGAGAGAGTGAGAGAGAGAGAGATATGGGGGAAGGGGTAGAGGGAGACCCAGACTCCCCATTAATGGGGCTTGATCCTAGGACCCTGGGATCATGACCTGAACCAAAGGCAGACACTTAATGGACTGAGCCATCCTGGTGCCCCAACAAAATTCTTTACTCAAAGTTATTGCATTCTTTAATCCACCCATCTTATGGGCACGTTAAGGAACTTTTCTCCTGAAAATGCTAGCACAGAGTCTTGTGGATTTACCTTCCCTATATCCTAAAGGTACTATGATCACCATGATGAGAGTTCTGAGTACATAATTATACCCTAAAATAATACTAGTCCACATCTTTGGTTCTGTGATTCATAGGCATAACATAATTCAACAATTAATAGTATATCTGAAAAGAAAATCCACAAATGTTTTCATGGCTTATCCTTATTAAAGAGCTATAACTGACCATTTAGCAACTGTCTCAACTGCACCAGGAAAAAAAAACCATCATCCTCTCAAAGATGGCCAAAATGGTTTTACTAGCTCAACCACCAAACTATGCTTTCTCTGTCTTAAAACACAAGAAATAATAAGTGAAATTCTCAAATGCTAGCAATATGAAAGAGGGGTAGGAGAAGACAATAAGCAACCAATTATGTCACTGACAAGCAAGGATGATTAAGGGTCGTGAGGTCAGAGGTCCGGTGATGAATTATCAAGATTCTTCCAGTACCCACTACCTCAGCTATAGTTAGGGGTCCATTCCAAATCTCTTTATTGAGTTCAATAACTCAAATCTAATAGTTGGCTCCAGGCTAAAATCTGACATACTTGATGTAGATAAAGGAATTAAGTTTTTTCCCTAAATTAAAGGTAGATCAATGGATTCCCCTTAATGAGATTTAACACTTTTAAACTCACTCTGTTCCCCCGCTGTGCTACACCAAATCATAGAACTTTTAGCAAAATTCTCATTTTTAACTGGAAAACCTCTCAAGTAAGGACTCACATGATGATGAAGTACTTCTGCTGAGCAGACTAAAACAACAAAAACAAAACAAAAAAGGAAAAAAAATCCATTGTAAAAAGTGCCTTTAAACTCTTCATTTGAATTATAGCATATGCCTAATAACTGCACTCAAGATATGACTGGAAGATAGAAATACTACTGATGGTTGTCTTGCTAATAGAAGTTCCCAAGGCTCTGAATTCAGTCATCTAAAAAAAGTTAATAGAGCAACCAACCAATAAAGTTAACATGTATGTTGCCACAAGATTAACTTGTCAATTTTGTTAATTACTTAACCTCAGAAATTCAGTGTATATATAGGAAATATCTTTTACACTGAGTTAAGAAACTTCAGAATGACACCTTACTAGAGTTGTACATCAAGAAAAAAAACGGCTGGGTCAGTTTTCTGTTTTAAGAGATCGAAGTCATATTAAAATGTAGGCAGAAATGAACTAAATATTAAAATGCCAAGGTTTTTTCTCTTATTATTGAGGCATATATTTACTACATGATTTTGTATATTCAGTAATATCCCACACGCTTGAGTGGTATAAGTAAAAAAAGAGATGTGAAGTTTAATAAGAGTTTATAATCTAGACTACAGAATGAAACATACTGTTTTGTTTCATTTGGTTCATAATGAAATGAGTCATACAGAAATCCAGGGCAACAGAATCTGAATAAAAGGGGAGATTGTAACTGGAGAAGGCAAACTTATAAGTTGAAACTTGACTTCGGACTTGAGGGATACTGAATTTGTCTACGAAAAAGCAAGGCTTTTCCAGGTAATTAAGAGTAAAGGACTTAAGTTCATATATTGAAATCAAGTTTAAAATTAAAAATATCTTACTTTTTTCTGTCAAGGGAAAACAACTAAATTTTGTAAGGAAATATGAGCCAACCTCAGCAGTCTGGTGGTCTGCAATAGCACTGTCAGATCAGAATCTGCCCAGGCCACGGGAGTCAACGTGTAGGATGCTAGAACAACAGCGAAGGCAGACTGCCCTCTAAAATATTTTTTATTAGCCCCTGTTGAACAATTCTTCAGTCCAGTAATTATATATGTGCTCCAAGTTACAGCTTAAGGAAACATACTCTGAGTTAATATGTCTCACAAAGACCTGTGATGCCATTTTCCACGTTTTATAAATACAATTCTAAATACAATTGATAAGAGTATGAAGAATGAGTGGTAAATGATGCCCTGTATTCTTTTGTGGGAAAAAGTCTCTCTGTGAGAGCCAAATATCATTTCCTTCAGTTTTCATACCCACAAGAGAATCAGGTATTTGGAGAACAAAGTAACAAGTAACGGCCACACTTTTCAAAGTTGCCACCCAAATACTACACACAGTTTTCCATATGTGCTTATTAGGCCAGCTTTAGGTAAATTCACCCTTCTAAGAGCAATGGGATACCCTGTGATTGTAAACTGGGAAGTTTAATCAGAAAATTCATTCACCTTGATGTGTAACTTTTTTCTCTCCAAATTACTGTAACAAACTGTATGGCAAAATTCTTCTTCCCTTACAATGGTGCTGTGCTGCTTTCCACCCTTTCCCCATAGTCTCCCTGCTGGTAACCAGATTGCAAGCTTAACCACCAACGACCTAGAAAGGCATATCTTTTGATGCCATCTGGTCCTTTTTTTTCTTGCCTTCATTCTCATGTGACTGGTGGCTCAGGAGCCTCCTGTATGGGGTTGCCAAATCATGGACTGTAAGATACTGGAGGAAAAAAAAAAAGAGGACAAAAGGCAGAAAAACAACAACCACCACCTTGGTTTGATTTGAAAATCCTAATAATAATAATAATAAAATAAAATAATTGTTTTAAAAAAGAAAATCCTTATGCACTGAGGAAAAAACTGCAAATAGCATAAGATGGTATTTTTCAAGTCTCCAAGAAATGGAAGAGCTGACATAGAAAACAAGGATTCATAAAAGGCACAGCCCTGTACCTTTAGTCAAAGCAGGTTAAAGAAGGTTAGGGGTGAGAGGGGTGCCTGGGGGGGGGGGCTTGGTTGAGCAGCCAATTCTTGATTTTGACTCAGGTCATGATCTTAGGGTTGTGAGATCCAGCCCCGTGTTAGGCTCTGTACTCAGCAAGGAGTCTGCTAGAGATTCTCCCTCTCTCTCTCTCTCTCTCTCTCTCTCCTACCGCCCCTCTCTTCCTGTTCATGCTAAGGCGCTCTCTCTCTCTAAAATAAATAAATAAATCTTTAAAACAAAATAAAACAAAAGATGATTGGGGAAAGTTAAAGCTGATTTTTTTTTAAGGCTGATGTTTTGAATATTTTGATGAACACCAGACAACCAATAGAAAAAGACGACACTGTAAAATTTATGGAACTAGCCTTGATGGAAAACAAGAAAAAAATTTAGCCTCCTGGTTAGCATTTATTTAACTTTTCACAACGCATGAAGAGCTCAATAAAACCCATAAAATGTAAATCTTTCCTAATTTAGTGTGAGGATTAGACACTGCAGCAGGGGTGTCTGATGAGTCTCCTTGCTGAGAGGGAGGGGGCAAAAGGATGGAGAGATACCAAAGCACTTTTATTTTCAAAGACACTTTGAGGTCTGTTTTAAAATAGATTTAAAAGTGGGTTTTACCCAGGGGAAGAGGCAATTTTCAGTGACTAACCTTATTGGAGAGAAGGTCCTATCAAACTAACCCACACCTTCAAAAAGGGCAAGCCCCTTGTGGGAAAAGGAACAATTAGAGTCTGTTTGGCTTTTATTTTGGTAAATTGGGATCATTTTTCCCTGAAGGAACCAATGCTGCTTTTGATTTCAAACCTTGTAAACTCTACTGCCAAA